TCTCCTTCCTTTTGATTTCCCCCCAAATAAAACTTTTAAATAAAAGAACAAAAATGAAGGGGGTGGAGAGAGTATTATGGTTTATAGGGTTAAGCCACCGTCTGCAACAACAGCAGTCCATATGAGCATTGATTCATGTTCCACTTGGTCCACTTTCAACCCAGATCCCAGTCAATGCACCTGGGAAAGCAATGGAAGATGGTGCAGCAGTCCAAGGCCTTTTCTCACTCCCTCTGGAGCTCCACTTTTCAAATAAATAGATGAGTAAATATTTTAAAAAATGGATTTGAAATTCTGTGTAGAGATGAAATAAGCATCAAAAGTGCTACAAACCAGACAGCCCATAGCATGCAGAAAATACTTTTGTTTTAAACTTCAAATACCATACATACCTCTTCATGGGTTATGTATGCTCCTTGGGAAAGGACCACCCATTTCTAGAGGATATTCTTCTCATTTCACACAGAACTTGGGCTCTAGTTCCTCTCTCCTGACTCTGCCCAACATCCCTCCTTCCCTGACAAGGCCTCCGCTGCTGCTATGTTCACCTTGGACTGTCGGCATCTCTTCCTGACCCCTCTTTCCCAGCCTCTCCTTTCAAGTAAGGCACTGTCCTACCTGAAACACTTCAGAGTTCCCTGTACTTAACAGATTCACAGAGCACCAACATATCATATATTTAATTTCTCACACAGAAAGTTCAATTCCAACTAAAGCAGGTGTTCTTGGACAATTATCGTTGCTTGCAATGTGACATTAGTGATATTAACATTTACAGGTGTTATATAATATATATTGATATTCTGATTGAAGATATTGATATAATCATTATAACAAAAGGATATATTAATGATATAAGATAATGATACAACGGTATTAATAACATTAACATTGATAGATGCTATTCAATCACATAGTTAAACACAGTGTGTTTCATTGAGTCCAAGTTAAATATGTTCTCGTCTAAAGGAGCATAGCTTTGAGGGGGGAAGAATGGAATGCAAGCAAATGGCAACTCCTTAAAAACTTTCTGCACACTCGCCATGTGACAGTGAGGAAGGACCCAGTGCAGAGCCTCCCAGAGGCTCACATGCAGTATGCATCCCACAGATAATGAGAACTTCAAAGAGTTCAAGGAATATGCATATTATGGATGCTATACGAGTGGCTTTCAAAAATTTTTTTGCAAGAAAACAAGTATATTTAATTCAATTTTTCTTTTTGAAGATTAACTAATTAATTAGAAAGGCAGATCTACAGAGAGGAGAGATGGGCAGAAAGATCTTCTGTTTGCTGGCTCACTCCCCAAATGGCTGCAACAGCTGGAGCTGAGTGGATCCGAAACCAGAAGGCTGGAGCTTCTTCTGGAGTCCCCATACAGGTACAGGGTCCCAAGGCTTTGGACTATCCTCTACTGTTTTCCCAGGCCACAAGTAGGGAATTGGATAGGAAGTAGAGCAGCCAGGACACGAACTAGCACCTACATGGAATCACTACACATGCAAGGCAAGAACTTCAGCCACTGAGCGCCCATGCTGGGCCCTATTTAATTCAATTTTTCTTGAAGCTTCCTGAAGTATCTCCATATAACCTCACGAAGGAATAAATGATAAAATTCACAACAAAATACAGTATAGAAGGAGTAGTGTAGGATTAGAGAAAGGAGTTCTCCATTTCAAGAGAGAAAAAATGGGAAAAGGAGAGGTCTTTCCTTGTGTGTACTTGCAAGTACAGGGCCCAGTACAGTCCATCGCCCCAATCAGCTGGAGGTTGCAATTGTTGAGTCAGTTCTGTTTCCAGCCCTGTCTCCCACTGGAACCAATGGGTGTTGCATTCCAGTTTGATTCTGCCCTAACCCTAACCTTGGATTAAATCCTGCTCCATTTACTCCCAGCGGCAGATTACGGTGGAGGCAGCAAAGCCCATAGGGACTCCCCAGTTAGCCCTGCTGTGACTTTCTTAATCCTCTCGCCTGTGCCTCTAGCTACAAACAGGGACAATAACAGTGCTAAATACATAGAGTCCTTAGAAGATTTGAGGACTTTCACTAAAGAGTTCAGAATAGCCCCTGGCAAGAAGTAAGCTTTACACAAATCTGTTAAATGACTGAGGGAGATAGAGACCTGGAGGTACTGCAGTGTGAAGTTTAATCCTTACAAAAGGATTAAAACTGGGCTGTATACTTGGCTCTCAATGCTTTTGTAACCACCACAAAGGAAGCTAGGGAGTAAGGGAGGATAAAAACGATTTTCCAAACTTGAGGGGAGGGAAGGAGACAACATGTGTTGTCAAGGGAAATAACTGGGAAATATATTTTGTTACCAAAGAGAAAAGAAATCTCATCTCCCTATTTATTTGAAAGGTAAAATTACAGAGACAGGTGGAGGAAAGAAAAGGAGAGGAATGGAGGGAGGGAGTAGAGAGAGAAGAGAAGGAGGGAGGAGAGAGAAAGATCTTTCATGCACGGGTTTACATCTCAAGTGGCTGCAACAAGCAAAGCTGAGCTAAGCTGAAGCCCGGAGCTTCATCCAGGTTTCCCACGCAGGTGGCAAGGACCCAGGAACTTGGATTAGCTTCCACTGCTATTCCAGGGCACCAGCACAGTACTGGATGGGAAGTGGAGTAGCTGGGAGTTAACAAGGTATCTATATGGGATGCCAGCATTGCAATCAGTGCTTTAAACCACTGCGCCACAGTACTGGCTCCAGAAAAGAAGTCTGAACAGTTTACATAACTCTACTCACTGTGGGTCTGTACACAAGGGGCAATGTCATGTGTTTTTCAAGTTTCTCTCAATAAAGTCCAAGGTCTACTTCTTTGGGTTTCTTGTGCAGGAAGCCAACAAATGCACCGCTCTCAAGGTCTGGCTCCTATTAGGGACCAGAACCCACCCCCATGCCAGTCCAGCTGTTAGCTACCCTTCACTCTGCTATGCTCCCATCATCAGAGCTGAGGAGGAGTCTGTTCTAAATGTGTGCAATACATTCCCCAACATCAGAAAATGGTTGCAATGCAGTCACAGAAAAGCACCAAGTGACCTGATGCATTGAAAGGTGACTTTCTCCAGAGCATCTGTTCCCGAGTTTACTGGATCCGGCCATCACTGGCCCAAGAACAGCTGTTGTCCTCTCCAGCTGTGCAGCACCTTGGAGAGACACTCTTATTCATCAGTCATCTCAGGCTCTGCCTGACCACGAAAGCAACATTTCCATAAGACAAAAGCTGCTGTGGTTGAGACACAGTCACTGCAGATTGGACAGCAGATGCATTCTCTTGGAAAGACTGCTTATTAGAGAACACACCTTGGCTTTAAGAGGTCCTGGGCTCCAATGGAGAGCATGAGTTGGGATGGGGACAGACCAGAACAGGTCGGGCTACAACACCTGTGGGCTTCATGCAAGCCAGATGAGGGAAAAGCTAGGCTTGGTAGACTGTCCCTACTGGTGCAAACATACAGCAGAATGGGTTGGTTGGGCTTTGTCACAGCATCAGCTGGCAGATGCTGGCAGCAGAGGCTAATTCTATGAAGTTAAACTGCAGAACCAATTGGAAAGTGCACAATCCGGGAGTGGGCCCAGGAGGGAAATAGTGGGCACCTCCCTCTTGGGTTTTCACTCCCACTGAAGAGCATGAAAACCAGGACTGGGGCAGATCTGGCTGAACAGAACGGCACCCACCAGCATGTTTGTGGGCTGGATAGTGGGTCTCTTGGGTTGAACTAGGCGTCAATGCCCATTGACATGTATGAGAGTTAAATGGAATGTGAGACAGACTGGACTAGTCTGTTGTACATACTAGCAAGCACTGGAACTAGAGCAGGGGGTGGGCCTGGTGGGGGTTACTGTGGGTCACTCCAACTAGGCTGCAGCTCCCATGGGTATATGTGTGAGAGACAGGACTGGAAACAGAACCGACCCAGCAACTGTAACCACCAGCTGATTGCGGCAATGGACTATACCGGGCCCTGTACTTCCAAGTACACACAAGAATCTGGTCTGGGATCACTTCAGACAAAATTTCTTTGGGGATCTCCCCAATCGAACTGCCGGACTCAGAACCTTAACCATGAAGAGAAGTGCAGGTTCCAAGGTCTGCCATGGCATGCAAGTGTCAAAGCCGAGCTTTCTCAGAGGCTCAGACGGAGCAGTGGAGAGCATAACCAGGTGCACATGGAGGATATGGTAGTCTATCAGAATCTGCAGAGGATACCTGACACCACAACAGAGGACAGAACAAATCAATCAACTACCCCAGCCATATGTTGGCAGTGAAAAACTGGGCAAACGGAGACTCTAAGGTGGACTATGTCAATCAATGGATTTTGCAGTGACTTCATCGTGCTTGGGATGGCAAGATTGGCAGCAATTCAGAACTGTTGAACTATCAAAACCACTTGAGCAGGACCCTCGGAGCATGCCTCATGTCAGGCACCTGAGATGGGCGGGAGACTAGGTGGGGCTTCTCCTTCTATCTCCCCCTTTACCCCAGATACAGAAAAATATGTGGAAATAATAGTCTTACCCACTTTCCTATAGCCCTTGAACCTTTGTGGCCTAATTAACTATGTAAAGATTGTCAAAAAAATTTTAAGAAAACAAAAAGAAGTCCTGGGCTCCTTTAGCCATCCCACCTTGGGCAGACCTGGTGCAGGTGCAGCCCTGTGAAAACACTCAGCTGCCAATCTGCCCATTTATCTTGCAAAGCAGGCTGCTCTCAAGGGTAATTATTGAAGAACTTCAATGCAAACCAAAGGGTGTTAACCGGCCCCTTCCCAATGTGTGATGGCCAAATTAGTGTATTTTTTATTTCCATCGCCATGAACGATGATCAATTCTTTGCATGGTGATACTCAAAACACCATCTTATAGCTACTTTGAAATACATAGTAAACTGTTAACTACAGGAAATGGTTTACAAGTAGTATCAACAGTAGCAGTTTTTTTTTTTTTCATTTTAGTACAGATGGGGTATTACAAAAGAAAGCACAAATAGACACATACCCTTGTAGTCCAGAGGCACTGAGTGGACAGCGGCATTTAGAGTTTATCCTTGCACATCCTTGGATGATCTTGCCTTCTACTGTGAAGCCTTGTCTGTTGCTTCCCTTGCATGTCTTCCACCTCACCCTGTACTGCTTCTTCTTCCATCACAACCTGGCAACTCCTACTTCTTTCATCAGGTCTTGGTAAAACATTCCTTGTCTTACACCTGCCTGACTGCAACCTCTGTGAGGGAAGGGAACACATCATGAGGTTTTCTTCTTGGCCTGAGGCTGACAGGGACTCTACGGTTGCAAACATGTATCCCCTGGCTGGCTGGCTGCTCTGTGTGAGATAAGCCACACACCCAGAGGATCCCACGTCACTCACTCCTGCCAGTGAGATAAGGAAGGCTGAAACAAGGCTGCTTACCACAGAGGAGGGAGGGCAACATTTTAACAACACACACCAGTGACCCACAAGTGTGTCATGGGGAGAGTTCTCCAAAGCTGGAGGTGTCCGGATCCACCAGAAAGGGAGAAAACAAGTGGGGAGAACCAACCACTAACTTAGACCGGCTTTTGGAGTAAAGTATTATTTGAAGAATTCAAATAGATTTCTAATTATAGACTCTTAAGTTTAAAATATCTTGAAAGGTTACTCTGTACTTCCCTCTGCCCAAGGTAGCACATTCAATGCCCTCCTTCCCTGCCCCCAGAGTCCTGTTTTTCCAAAGCTCAGGGAGGAATGTTGAATAACAGATGAAAACAAGTTCTGTGTGTCAGGATCTTGCTTTTTAAAGCTATTTCTTTTTTTTTTCCCCTCTTAATTTTCTGTATCACAATTCTGGTTCTTTCCTACATCAGACAAACTTATTATCATTGCATTTAATTCCCTAAAGTACTCCAGGTAAAAGCCAGAAGAAATAATACTTGTTACAATGGAAATTAGTTTTTAATTTTAATAAATGTTCCCAAACCTTTTGCAACAGATGAAGACAATCCATTACATCTTAACATTGGACATGAGAATGTTTTTACCTCTACTGGCGAGCAAAGAAACATAAATCAAAAAAGCAAGCCACCACTTATTAACATACCGTGACATCCAGGGCTGGCATCCGATGCAGTTAAGATGCCAATTGAGATGCTCACCCCTGAACAGCTATGTTCTACTCCCTCTCCCACCTTCCTGCCAATGTGTGACTGGGAGGCAGCGGAGGATGGCCTAAGCGCATGGCTTCCTGTCACTCATGCAGGAGACCTGGGTTGATTTCCACATTTCTGGCTTCCATCTGACCTAGCCCTGGAAGCTGGAGGCATATGAAGAATAAACCAGTGCATGGGAGGTCTCTCTACTGTCTTTGTAAGAAACATGTTATATAACAATTCTGGAAAGCAGCCTGCAATTTCATGGTTTTGTTGTTGTTGCTTGTTTATCCATTTTGTAGCTTTTATGTATTTGAAAGATAGAGGATCCCCCCCATCCACTGGTTTCTAATCAAATAAGCAAAACTAAATGAACAAAAATGGTTTAAAAACATGGAAGTTATCAATGTGCTTCCTAGGGCTATTGTAAAATATATTTCTTATAATTCGGAAATCTCCTAAGAAAAAGCAACAGGTTACCTCTAAGAATATTAACCATGACATTATGGCTAATAATGAAAAAAGCAAAACTCGTGTGTCTAACACTGAGAGGCTGCTTGGTAAACTGTGATGAGGTAGTGCTATATTCACGCAGGTTAAGTAGCTGCCTGAGGTGTTGGTAACACATGTGGCTGATACCTAGCTGTTCCAGCCCCAGCTTCTCTGCTTCTCATACGTCCCTCTGCTAATGTGCCTGGGAAAGAACAGAGGTCCCCATAATCCACATGGGAGACCCAAATGGAGTTCTGGGTTTCTGGCTTCAGTCTGGCTCAATCCTGCCCACTGTGGCTGTCTGGGGAGTGAACCAGCTCAAGAGCGCTGACTCTCCTTCTCTCTGTAAGTCTGCCCTTCAAAAGCTGATATTTATTTAAAAAGAAATAAGTTGTAGTAGATGGATACAATATTATAATCAAATATTCCTTTATTATGTTTAGTGGGAAATAAAAGAAGTTCATGATTTAATCGTAGGTACAAAATAACATGTGTATGATTCAATTTATTCTACTTTTAAAAAGCTGCATTTATAAACATAGATATGACTAAAAAGATCATGCAACACGCTACCAGGTGATAGAAAAACTCCACTTTTGCTTATCCAAACATAAAATTTTCTAAAACAAACATAGGTTGCTATTTTAATTGAACAATTAGAGACTACAGTCTCCCCAATTCCAAATATCAGCTACCATATTAATAGTCTAGGAAAAAAGTTTATTATGACAAGCACATAATCTATTTAATACCATTATTTACTAAGGATAAAAATAGTAGGCCTCATTTTTCTTTTCGGCCATTGTGTGTGTATATGTGTGTGTGTTTTAGCAAGATGTCATTTGTGGTAATGTGCCACCAGGGAGCCAAGCGGCCCACTTCTCTGACTAAACATAGCCTGATTGCACAGTTGATGGAATTACAGAAAATATACAGAGTTACTAAGATTCCTGCTCTTGCTTAAATAAAATTCTGTGTTTGAAAATAAAAAGGAAACTAAAAGTAAAAATGAAACAAGAAACTCAATTCATAGAATTCATAGAATTCAATTCACAGAATTAAGATGGAGGCCAATTTTAGGATGGAGATGGTATGAGATGGAGAAAGGAGGAAGACTGACTCCTCCCTACATCTGGAAGCACGATCATCAAAGGCGCAAGGCATCTGGGGCAAACATGCCAGGAGCAGGGTAAGAGAGAGAGCAGAATAGCTGTACTTGAGTAGTTCAGCCAGTGCTAGGCTTGCACTCATGACCTAGCTCAGGCAGTCTCATTTGCATTCCCAACTACTTACAACTCTTGGTTGGTAATTTCTTGGATTACCTGGTGAGTAATCTACTTTCTCTCTTTTGTTCTCTCTCCTCATCTTTGGTTGTTATGGCTCTTAAGCTTTCTAAGAGATTGTTTAGCCTCTCCACTAGTTTAACAGCACTTTGATTCTCTAATGAATGATCTGTAGTTGTCCTAACGTGGTTCAAAAAAAGAGTCCACCCACTTTTCCCATGTGTCACACCCATCTCGGACACCTGTACCCTGCAGGTTTGCCACATGCCTTCTGATTCACCTATCTCACACTCTGCATATAAACCTCTATCTCACAAAGCAAATCTTCCTTCAAGTTTGCTGGAAAGATAATGTGCAGAGATATCAAAATGGGAGCATGGAAATTACATTCTCAGGGCCCCCAAAAGGTGTTGGGCGTCCCCGTGGCAGAAAGAAAGCACCAAGAGTAACTGGAAAGGAGGAAGAAGAACGAGGAAGTAAAGTGAGGGACTTACAACTCAAAGTTTTTGCAAGTGTCTCTTGAGCAAGATAAAGCAGATAAAGCAAAGTCCTCAGACACCTGGGAGGATGAACACACGTGGGGTGCAGAGAACATCCAGACATCCATCAGAGGGCAGGCATTTGGCTCAGCCCTGTCCTCAGTGTCCTGAGGATGCCTGCATAGTACATTGGAGTCCCTGGATTCAACACCTAGCTTTGCTTCCAATTTTAGCTTCTGTTGAAGTTGCATCCTGGGAGGCAGCAGGTGATGGTTGAAGCACCTGAGTACCTGTCACCCACATGGAGACCTGGATTAGGTTTCAGCCTGGCCAAATCCTGGCCATTGTGAATGAGCAGATGAGAAGTAAATCCACAGATAGGAGATTGCTCTCTCTGTCTCAGTGCCTTCCAAATAAAATAGAAAGAATATATCACAACAAAAAGAAAGATGCTGGCCACATGGTCTTTGGTGGCACCTTGATGCCATGCATACTCCAAGGATGGGCAGTCACGAAATGGGATGTGATGCGGTAAACATGTCATGCAGTAGCTCTGCCATTATGCATGGCTGCACGGTATGCACCTCAGCTCTAGGAAGGCCAAGGGAAAGGAACCATGGTTGGTGATCAGGCTCCTCTTTGCTGACCTCTAGAGGTCCTGAGTGTCACCTTGATCTCCAAATGTGGCACCTTCAAGAAGATGAGGGCCAACACATTCAAATGGAACCCCAAGGTCCCCTCCGCCTTTATAAAATGGCTATTAAGTAATATGTGCAAAGTAAAGCACTGTTATTTTGATTTGGGCAAAAGCAAATAACCCCCAGTTTAAATCACATTTTTAAAAGATTTATTTATTTATTTTATTGGAAAGTCATGTATGCAGAGAGGAGGGAAGACAGAGAGGAAGATCTTCTGTCTGATGATTCACTCCCCAAGTGAGCACAACTGCCGGAGATGCACCAATTCAAAGCCAGGAGCCAGGAGACTCTTCCAAGTCTCCCAAACAGGTACAGGGTCTCAAAGCTTGGGTCATCCTCGACTGCTTTCCCAGGCCACAAGCAGTGAGCTAGATGGGAAGTAGGGTGGCTCGGATTAGAACCAGCATCCATATGGGATCCTGGGGCATGCAAGGTGAGGACTTTAGACACCAGGCCATGCTGCTGGGCCCTTTTATCACACACACAAAAAAACTGCATAAGAGTTATTCTGCAAAGTCATTTTTCACTTCATACTTAATGGAATTTTGGTTAAATTCTAATAATGTTGGTATGACAATTTGGCATAGTGTGTAAAGCTGCTACCTGCAATGCCAACATCCTATATGGGCAGTGGTTCACTTGCTGGTCCTGCCACTTGTGATCCAGCTTCCTGCTCATGGTCTGAGAAAAGCAGTGGAAGAGGAGCCACATGTCTGGCCTCTGCACCCATGTGTGAGACCCGGTGAAGCTCCTGGCTTTTTTATGGCTGTTCCAGTCATCTGGGTAGTAAAACAGTAGATGGAAGATCTCTTTCTCTCTAAGTCTGACTTTCAAACAAGTAAATACACCTTTTTAAAAAAGTCTAAGAATGTATATTCTGGTGAGCATTTCTTTAGTTGAAAGCAGTGAGAAATAGGATAGAAATAAGAAGTGGGCTTCCTGGGAAAGACAAATGGACCAAGATGCTTCCACTGCAATGAGGAGGCCTGGTTTTCATCCGGATCCAATGGCTACTGTGACTGAGCCTCAGGGAACTCAGCATCCATGTGTACCTCTCATACTTGGCTCCTTGGTCCTCAGAAATGTGCCTGGTAGGAGCTAAGTACTTCCCATGTATAAGGACAAGGAATAGTAGTTTCTTGGATTTGTTTGAATGTTCTAATGCAGTGCTGTTCCACACCATAGGCACGTACTACATGGGGCTGCTTAATTTACCATTTTTATTAATTAAAAGTTA